GAGGCACCATCACTGGCCACGGGCTTCGGGGCCTACCTGGCCCAGGTACTGCACCCATTTCTCATTTAATTCACTTCTATTCTGTATTATTTTTTATTTTTATTTTGAACTAATTATTTTTATATCAATTCCTGGCAGCCGCTGCTGCGGGCGGCGCTGGAGCGGGATCAGCTCCCGACGCGGGAGGAGGCGCGGGATCTGCTGGAGAGATGCCTGAAGGTCCTGTACTACAGGGATGCTCGGTCTTTTAATAGGGTTTGTATCCCAAATCCACCCCAAATCCATCCTAAATCCATCCTAAATCTATCCCAAAATCCATGGGAGCCAGGGATCCACCCCAAATCCACCCCTAACCCCGGGATCTGCTGGAGAGATGCCTCAAGGTCCTGTACTACAGGGATGCTCGATCTTTTAATAGGGTTTGTATCCTAAATCCATCCCAAAATCCTGGGAATTCACCCCAAATCCATGGGAGCCACGGGATCCACCCCAAATCCATCCCAAATCCACCCCAAACCCCGGGATCTGCTGGAGCGCTGCCTGAAGGTCCTGTACTACAGGGATGCTCGGTCTTTTAATAGGGTTTGTATCCTAAATTCACCCCAAATCCATCCTAAATCCATCCCAAAATCCTGGGAATTCACCCCAAATCCATGGGAGCCAGGGAACCATCCCAAATCCACCCCAAACCTCGGGATCTGCTGGAGCGCTGCCTGAAGGTCCTGTACTAGAGGGATGCTCGGTCTTTTAATAGGGTTTGTATCCCAAAATCATCCCAAATCCATCCCAAATCCATCCCAAATCCATCCCCAATCCATGGGAGCCATGGGATCCACCCCAAATCCATCCCAAACCCCGGGATCTGCTGGAGCGATGCCTGAAGGTCCTGTACTACAGGGATGCTCGATCCTTTAATAGGGTTTGTATCCCAAATCCATCCTAAATCCATCCTAAATTCATCCTAAATCCATGGGAGCCAGGGATCCATCCCAAATCCACCCCAAACCCTGGGATCTGCTGGAGCGATGCCTGAAGGTCCTGTACTACAGGGATGCTCGGTCTTTTAATAGGGTTTGTATCTTAAATCCATCCCAAATCCATCCCAAATCCATCCCAAAATCCTGGGAATTCACCCCAAATCCATGGGAGCCAGGGATCCATCCCAAATCCATCCCAAACCCTGGGATCTGCTGGAGCGATGCCTGAAGGTCCTGTACTACAGGGATGCTCGGTCTTTTAATAGGGTTTGTATCCCAAATCCACCCCAAATCCATCCTAAATTCATCCCAAAATCCTGGGAATTCACCCCAAATCCATCCCCAGTCCATGGGAGCCAGGGATCCATCCCAAATCCATCCCAATCCCGGGATCTGCTGGAGCGCTGCCTCAAGGTCCTGTACTATCGGGATGCTCGATCTTTTAATAGGGTTTGTATCCCAAAATCCCAGGAATTCACCCCAAATTCACCCCAAAATCCTGGGAATTCACCCAAAATCCACCCCAAACCCCGGGAGCTGCTGGGGCGGTGCCTGAAGCTCCTGATTATTGGGATGCTCGCTCCTTCAAAAGGGTTTGTGTCCCAAAATCCCATGGAAATTCCTCCAAAATCCCATTAAACCCACCCCATTAAAGGCCACTCTTTAACTGGGGACAATCCCGTGGAATTTGGGGCCAATCCCACGCAATTTGGGGCCAATCCCGTGGAATTTGGGGCCAATCCCGTGGAATTTGGGGCCAATCCCGTGGAATTTGGGGCCAATCCCACAGAATTTGGGGCCAATCCCACAGAATTTGGGGTCAATCCCGTGGAATTTGGGGCCAATCCCACGGAATTTGGGGCCAATCCCACGGAATTTGGGGCCAATCCCACGGAATTTGGGGCCAATCCCACGGAATTTGGGGCC